CGACTTCAATGTATACGATCGTCTGATGGCGTGTGCTCAACAATTAGAGTTTATACGAGTATACCTATCAACAACACGCTTCCTGTGTGTGTAGACATATGAGCGCCGCGTTCAGATAATAGTCTGCCCGTGTGTGTTCGTGCAAGTCCTTAGATTGTTGTAGGGTTTAGGGTTTAGTATCGTGAATTTCTTCAATTATCGTAGGGTTTAGGGTTTAGTTTCTTGCATGTCCTTAATGCGTCGTCCCATGCAGGGTTAAGGGGTTAGGCCTGGGCTGCCTGTTAATCTCCCGTTCTTCGCCCAAGGTATAAATACCAACCAGAAACCGACCCCTTTCCGTGAAAGCATATCAATTCCGGATCAAATGAATACGAGCATGGCCAGTATTCCAGAAAACACGAGCGCACACACGCCGAATCCTCGGCCGAAGAGACCGTTAAACCATGGCTCTGGTCTGTCTATGAGCACAAGTAAGTGACTATCACAGTGGCGTGTGAGGTGAGTGTGAGGTGAGTGTGCGGTGAGTGTGTGTCTTATGTGTTGCTCACATAAGACACCTGCCCCGTTGCCACGTGCCACGCGATGTGTGCAAACGTCTCGCACAGACTCGCGCCTGCACCTATATCTGCACCTACACCTGCACCTGCACCTATGCCTGCACCTACACCTGCACCTGCACCTGCACCTATACCTGTACCTGCACCTGCACCTATACCTATACCTGCACTGATACCTGCACCTGCACTTGCAGCAGCTCAAGCGGTGTCGTTTATCAAAGATCCTGTAGCAAGGACTGCACATGAGCAATGCTATTCCTAAGACAGATGTACTTGGGCGAGCAAGCAAGCAACCTCGGGGTTTGGTTTGTACTTTTAATTTTTATTTTCGCACTCGAAAGTTCGGTACTACGGCCATGGGCCAATCACAGCCCAACGGTACCCTGTTTGGACCCTGCCATCGATACCATTGCACCTCAGCTCAGTCTCTCACTGTTTGGTTGCCATGGCTACAGGTCTTGGCAACCGCAGCAGTTCAGATCGATTAGACAGTGACATACCCTCGTCACGCTCAGTGTTCTCACTGTTCCACCCCTCCAGCCCCACCACCGCTCGATCCTTAGGTATGTATCGACAGTCCTCTACGTGCCTGTATACGTACGCTATCCCCGATATTACATAGGTGTCCATTGTCTGTACCGGACCGCTTGTGATATATATTGTATGTGTTTAGGGTTTAGGGTTAGGTTTATAGTGTCTGTATTTCCATAGCCTCCTAAATAGTACAGTATTTCTTTAATTTTATATTATATTAAATTCTGTATGTGTTGTTGTATATAATGTCTGTGTTTCATTCATTTTCTGGCTTTTGGTATGTTTTGTCCGGGTTTCTTTTATTGTATGTGATTTCGTATGTATTGTCTGTGTTTCATTCATTGTCTGGCTTTTTGTATGTATTGTCTAAGTTTCTTTTATTGTATGTGTTTTCGTATGTATTGTCTGTGTGTCCTTTAAAGTACACCTCACTCTCCAACCACCATACGCTCTGCCTATCCCCCGTTGCAGCACCCAGCATGACCTCTGGGCCGTGGCAAGGCGTACACAGAGCCAGTGTCAAGGCCGGGCACGAGATTATACAGGTAGTACGTGTTAGTATACTACCCCTCTTTTTCGAGAGTGAGACCTTCACGGATTTCAAACACGACTTAGAAGCCAAGAACGCCGAAGTGCGAGCGTTGAGCGAGGCCGGTTTATTAGGCGAAAGCATGCACACGTCCAGACATGCATCGCTCAGTGATTCGCCTATACAGCTATGAATATTAAATTAAAGCGAACTTAGAATACGTACGGGGGCAGTTTAGAATGTCTGCAATTGAGTATTAAATTAAACCAAACTTAGAATACGAACGGGTCCAGATGTCTGTAGGTTTGCTTATATGTATTGCCCAAGATATAGAGCCTGCATGAACTGGATGGAGTTCCGATACTCCCACTGTCCCGTTTTAAATCATAACAAAAGCGGGATGGTGCTCAGGTTTGCCGTTGTGCATTGTCCGCTAGGTACTTCTTTCGCGGTTTCGTTTGCCACCTTCCATTCTGCATCGTCTTCCCAAAGCGCGCGCCGGATGTGGACATTAGACGAGATGACTTTATAATCTGGTGGCAACTCACCCCATGTGCACCCAAGATCGCTGAGATACCACCCCGTACGGCATTTGTACTGCTGAGCCACAGTCCTATTCATGTGTATCTTAGTTATTTCATACTATAACCACACGCGTCGGAAGTGTTCAACAAGAGTCATGGGCTGATGCTACGCAACAAACAGGGATAGAGTAGTGTTCAGCTCAGCATTAACCAACTTGCACCACACACTGCCCAGTCCCATGTGCATCCTCCACGATGAGTGGGTTACACTTTGTTGGGCATGATCATCTTGCCGTTTAGAAGGCTATCTAAGTGGTAATGGCTAGTATATATTATTATGTATCATTACTATATTATATATCATTACTATATCTCCCGTACGACTGCGGTAACAACTGAACAAGCCCTCGACGGTGTACTTGGCACCACACACAGCATAGTCACATAAATCGTCCACGATCAGTGGATTGCACTTTAATGGTCCTGATCATCTTGCCGTTCAGGTGGCTATTTAAGTGGTAATGGTTAGTATATTGTTATCTATCATCTTAATGTATCTGAATATGTCTTCGATGATGTGATGCTTTCTCTCTTATCCGCCGGGTGCACCCGGTCCAGCATCACTTCGTTCGACCGTCCGGTTTCGCCTCTGCAAATTTAGTGTTCAGCTCGAGGTCAACTTCAGGAAAGTACATCCTAGAGTAAAGATCTGAACTGCTTGTGTTCGCGTTCATGTATCCCTGTGTTGAAAGCTCGACCGTATGCCTGCTTGTCTCGACCGTAGGCATGCTTGTCTCGACAGTTGATCTGCTTGTATCAGTTTCACATGTCGAAATTACATCGCCAGTCGATTCCCGCGATATAGGTTGGGGTTGTCGCTGCTCATACTCACCTATACCTGGCATCTGGAAGGGCAAATTGAGCATCTCATCCAGCTGTGATATGTCCATGCCCTGTCCACGCTTCGATGTCTCAGACACCTGCTCAGTACCAACGAGTTGGCCGCACATACCGAACTTCCGCATTGTGTGATCCTGACCGAGCAATCGACTGACAGAATCAGGCCTAAGCGCCCGTAGTGTCGCAGAGGACTCCTCGTCAAGCGTTGCGGCAAGCGCAGCCATTGAGTCTAAGGACGACCGCTCTCGCTCTGAGATACCTTCACGGTGTGCCGATAGCAACTCTTCGAATGTCTGTACCCGGTATTGGTCGAGCTGTTCTTGTTTCAGCTTGAGATCAGGCAGAGAGAGACGGCCCTCGGCCTCCTTCGCCGACTCCCTTGAGATCGGCACAGACGGGTTTGCATTCTGTGAGGCTAAACCGTCGCTGTGGAAATATCGCAGAGCATGAACATCTAGCCTGGCCTGCTCAGTTTGTTGCTCCGACCGTTGCGACAGCCATTGTCCTTGCTGGTGAAGTTGCTGTTGTTCCTGTCGCTGTTGATCTTGCCCTTGCGGTTGTGGTAGTAGTTGCGGTTGTGGTAGTAGTTGTGGTTGTGGATGTGGTTGTGGTTGCGGTTGCGGTTGCTGATACAGCTGATGATTTATTTGCTGTTGTCGTTGTTGTTGCCGCCCTTGCTGTTGTTGTTGGTTTAGTTGCTGTTGTTGTTGGTGCTGATGTTCCAATAGTTGTTGCTGTTGCTGTCGTTGCTGTTGATCCAAATTCTGTTGTAAATTTAATTGCTGTCGTTGTTGATGTAACGATTGATGTTGCTGTTGTTGTTGCAGTTGTTGCTGATTTAATTGCCGTTCTTGTTGCAAAGATTGTTGTTGTTGCTGTTGTTGTTGGTTTAACTGCTGCTGTTGTTGTTGTTTTTCACGTTGTTGGTTTTGCTGTTGTTGTTCTCGTTGTTGTTGATGTTGCTTCTCTTCTTCGTCTTGTTGCATCTGTTGCTGCTGACTTTCCTTGAACATGTGCAATTGCAGTTGCCGTTGCTGTTGCAGATTTATTTGTAACTGCGCTCTCAGTTGACTTTGTAATTGAAGTTGACGCTGCATCTGCAGCTCTGACAGCTGCCGCGCCCGAGATGGCAACAATTCCGTGTTTCTTGATGTATCACTATGTCCATCGTCTTCTCCAACCGATGAATTTTCCGCTTGAGCTGGGGATGAGCCATGTGAACTAGTCAATTGAGTTATACAACCTATCAGATCGTTAAATGCGCCTTCTTGAGTTATATTCTTATCTTCGTTATCCGTATCCATTGAGATACATGAATTATTTTGTTCCACAATGTCCGCACACTTTGGAGCGGCTCGAGAATCTTCAAGTTTCAGCCGCTGATACTGTGCTTGTAACTGCAAGTGTGACTTAGTTTGGTCTGCTTCCAATCCCCTTAGCTGGTGCAGATTATGACCTGCCATTTGTGGCTTATTCGCCTGTGCAGTTTCATCGCCATTATTTGTCGTGTCATCTTCCACCGTCGCGTCGCATAATGAAATTGACCTTCGTAAGTCGTGTCTGATAGGACTCTTTCTCTCTGCCTCCGATAACCCCATCTGCCTTACACTCCTATTTAATATTTGGTATGTAGACGTCCTTCATATTAGCCGAGATTGTTAGGTGGATTGTATCTATAAGCAATCAGAAGAGCTAAAGCACATGGTCCGGACAAATTATTAGTATGAAAAACTACCGCTCTCTCATACCCCATAGATGCATGTATCCGCATACACAGCAAACATGCTACTCACCGTTGGGGTAAAATATGCACATTGCCCACATAATCGGAAGATTCCAGCTTAGGTTGTTTGTTAAACTGTACGTCGGTACTGGCTTTGAAGAATGAATCTTGAAGTTTCGGATTCAACACGGCTGTTCCGAAACCCAATATCGGAGGTAGAATATCAGGACAAGAGTATGTACGCTTCCGAAAGCCCGTTTGCGTTTTTCGCACCCCTATAGAGAAAAAATATACCAAGGATAAGTGAATCACCATTACATTTATCAACTTAAATTCAAAAGACCAAGTTCTCGTGTAGTTAAAAATCATTAAATCAGCATCGTACCGATACCTGCAAACGATTGTTGACGAGCCAAAGGCCCTCCGCCCGTCTGCTCCGCAGTGCTAAAGAAACTGTGCTTCTTTCGTCGGTGCTGCATGTCATAGTGAGCAATTGAAGATAAAAATGAGTAACAAACCTAAGCCAACAGTACCTTGAAGTACAAGGAACTATAAATCGTACTACCCGGCACACTAAACATTGATAACATATCTTAACGAAAACTGCTGGTATACAACAAGAAAAACACAATGCCTGTATATAAATCCATACTTGCTTCAGTGATTGTTCGGATGCGTATATCCGACTACAGCCAAGTGTATTGCAGACAAAATTGCGTTCCATTTCCTTCAGGTTGCGTCTCGGCCTAGGCTTTTTCATTTTGTTATCACTTTCCTTCGCAGGGTTGACCATTGTAAATTCTTGAATCTGCTTTATAACATTGCTCTAATGATGTGCGTGCCCAAATTGTAAAAAAAGGACTATATATTTTATTTTAAAAGGACTATATATTATGTAATAGGCATATATGTACACAAATTGATTGAAATTGATAAGAGATATTTGTTTTTAACAGTTGTCAACTGTGCACTGTGCATTATGCATGGTGCAGTTGTGCACTGTACAGTGTATACTCTCTCTTGTGTGTACAGGGAACAGTGGTACGATATTAACCTTTTTTTATAAAAAGATTTGTTTCGTATCCACTAGATACTACACTACCATAGGAAAAATTTACATCATGAGGAAGACGAACAGTCGATCACTGACTTGGTTTTGTTTTTTTTATAAAAACCCACTATCGGCGTGGACACTGGATTACTACTAGACTTAAGAGATAGATATCCACTTTTTATTTTACTCTATCGTATTTACATGCGATAAAAATCAAGTTGTCGACTTGTTGGCAGCAGTTGTGCTATTGCTTTTGATGTTCTAGAACGAGATGAACTTAATTGTATTTTTAAAGCTGAGTCACTAAAAAACAACCACTTTTATCTGTTGACTTCGTTTTCGTGTGTGTGGGGAGTCTGGGACTCTAAAGGAGTGGAATACATTGGCTTGAGCCTTGAGGCCAACCTGAGGCCTTTTGAGCCCTTTTTTACTAAACAAAATGACACTTGTTGAGCACTGAGACTTGAGAGAAGTTGAGCCCTCGCTTTCGGTCTTTCCTCTCTCTTCTGAAGTTCAGTCTCTCTCTCTGTCTCTCTCGCGCTCTATATATATATATAAATACATAGTTTTAAAAACTGTTTTTTTTTAACAAATAGCTAAATATTTTTGGTAGAAAGAGTCTTGCGATTTGAGAAGACTCGCGTGCAGAGATTTGAGACTTGAGAGGTTGAGCAGCCGTTGAGACTTGAGACTTCTTGTTGTGTGAGACTTTGGAGTTGGAACTTGGGACTTGGGAGTCATGAAGCTCCAGGATGCGAAACTACGAATTCTTCGATCATCATTGGTGCCTCATGGGATTATCATGACCCTCTCTCGGAGTTTGCTCTACTAATAGGGCCTCGGGATTTGTTCTTTTTGTTGTTTTTTGTTGTTTGTTGTTAATTTTTTGAAAAATAAAATACAAACCAAATACATTGCTACATATTAGATTTTTAAAAATGCTATTTTTACTAAACAAAAAGCAGTTTTGTTCAAGATTTGATTTCCTCTCTCTTGTTTGACAGGCTGGGCTGGGATCAGTGGGATGTCTTAATTGTTGATGATTGCCCCACTACAGGTCAGGAGTTCAGGAGTCAGGGAGGCTATGATGATTGCCCATGTGTTTTTAGGAGGCTCCATCTGCTTAGGAAAGGGAATGGGTGGTTTCGTATTTTGTTTTAAACAAAATACATACACTCGTATGTTTGTTTGTTTGTTTTTTTAAATTGAACCAAAATTTAAAAATTTAAATAATTTAAAAAAAGTGCTGTGTGTAGTTTATATATGTACTTTGTTATTTTATATTTACTGACTTGCTATAAATAGCTACGGGCCTTCGGCCTTGAGTGCTTCTTAACTCCCTTCTTGAGTCTTGACTCTTGAGAGTTGAGTGATGACTGATAAGTCCTGCTCTTCAGACTCTTCTTCTTCTTCTTGTCTGTGGCCTGTGGCTCTATGGGCTTGACTTCTCTTTGATAGTTGAGACTTGAGACTTTACTCTTCTTGAGTCTTGAAAAGTTGAAATGGAACTGTTCAGTGTTCAGTTTGAAACTTGAAGCTTCTCATGACCATCTACTAGAAAAAGTAGAAATTATGGGAGAACGGACAAGTCCGTAGGAAACTTCTTGAACAGTCTTCTGTTACTTCTCAAAATACTATTTTTTTTATGTGGCAACCCCCAACGGCGCGCGCCCGCACACACACTACATACAAACCTACAGTACATATATAACTATA